GACCCTGGGGTACACCACTAGTTGCTGGCCTCCATTTGGACTTTGTTTCATGAATCACAACACTCTGGGCCTGGTAGTTCAGCCAGTTTTCAATCCATCTCAACTCTTATCTAACCTGTACTTTGTCAACTTGTCTATAAGGACGTTGGTGGAGACAATGTCAAAGGCTTTACTAAAGTAAAAGTAAACAGTATACACTGCATTCCCCCCATCCACCAAGATAGTCTCCTTGTTGTAGAATGCTATCAGGCAGGCTGAGCATGATTTCATGTATTTGGAAATGATTTCCAGGTTTAGTTGATCCATCAGTTTCCCAGGGATTGAGGTGGGGTTGGTCAGCCTGTAGTTCCCTGATCCTCCTTTTTCCCCTTTTTGAAGATAGGAGTGATGCTTGCTTTCTTCCAGTTCTCAGGAATCTCTCCCATCTGCCAGATCCATCAGCACTCATGGATGTATCCTTTCAGGGCCAATGGATTTATGTATGTCCAGTTTGTTAAAGTGCTCACTAACTTGGTCCTTCTCTGTTAAGGGTAAGTTTTCTTTGCTCCGGACTTTTCTTCTGGTCTCAGGGGCCTGGGATTTCTAAAGGCTGCTCTTGCTAGTAAAGACTGAAGCAAAGAAGGCATTGAATACCTCAGCATTTTCTGTGTCATTTGTCACCAAGTCCCCTGCCTTTTTCTGCAGCAGGCCCATGTTTTCCTTGGTCTTTCTTTTACTGTTCATGTACTTGTAGATCCTTTCTTGTTGCCCTTCACATCCTTAAACAGATTCAACTCCAGGTTGGCCTCAACTTTTCTAATCCTGTCCCTGCAAGACTGAAAAGCAGCTTTATGCTGCTGGGTCATCTGCTTCTGCTTCCACAACTTGTACACTTCCTTTTAATTTCTGATTTCAGATAGGTGCTCCTTGCTCATCCATGCAGACCTTCTGCCATCTTTGCTTGTTTTTTTTCCTCCATTACTTTCCTGTCATTCATAAATAAGACTGTGACAGGCCAAGCCATGGTGATCTGAGGAAAGACCGACAAGTGACACTTTTTGAAGTGATTGCACAAGCGCGGGAATTTTAAGAATGCCAGGGACCCTTGAGGTTTAATCATTTAAGCTTTGTCCATGGGTAGCAGATGGGCCCAAAAAGTACAGTAGAGGTCTTTACATGTGCACTTTACAGCATATGACAAAAGGGAATAAGATTCTCCTGTCAGAACAACAGGCTGCACTGACTCAAGTTGACTAAGCTGATTTGTCATGGAGTGATGGGACTCACTATTTTCTATAGATGGGTCATCGCTCCCTTTACTGCACCCACTTGAAGCACACTGAAATCACTTCCTCTTAATGCTAAAAATTACAAGGGATCATCGCTGCAAAAAAGAGATGGTATCTGCTGTTTTGTGGGGCTTTTTGTGGAGTCTGTTACCAAGGCCATGAGTAAGTAAATAACATTAAATGGAAGTTACACCCAGGCTGTTGTTTTTTAGGTTCCAGGTGAAGGAAGAAATAAACTGAGACAATTTGCTTTGCCGAACTATGTGGTGATCAAATACACGTTTTACACCACTGATTAAATAATAGGAAGGGGAATAAAAAGAGAGGAAGGAAGCTGATGAAAGTCAGTGAGGCTGCTGAAGGTTGCAGCTGGCAGGTGAAGGCACCTCTGAGGCTCTGAGAGCTGCTGTCATGGGTGGAGGAGGTGGCAGAAGGCCAAGGGCTGTTTGTGCGGTTTAATCCAAAGTGCAAAATGAAGTCAAAAGGGCTTCTTTTGATTTACTTGCTTCACTTGCATCGTCCTCATTCTCTGGGTATCCTGTTAACAGTTGTGTCTACTGGCGGTCAAAATCACAAGCCCTGGCTAATAATTTTCAGGTCACCCTCACTCTTTGCTTTCCCTATTCCTGCGTGAATTTGCAATATCAGGATGAATCTTGTTTTCTCAGGCCAAACATGCCAACACTGCACTGTGTGTGAACCCTGAAAAGGGGGGCACACTGTGACAATGCTCTGTCCTTGTCCTCATGGGACTGATGACCCAGAGGATGTGGGCAAGTTAATCAGTTACAGTCCTGCAGGCAGGCAGAAAAGGACCTGGGGGACAACATATCCCGTGGCTTTTTAGTTCATGAACTGTGATCATCCATATTTGAAAAAATCAAATCAGGTAATCAGAGCTGGCTTCTAGAGAGCAGAACTTGAGGCAGGTGGTTAGGCTAGTGTCTGCCTGCACAGCAGAGAGGTGGGAGGTGCCCAAGCCCTACGTTCCTCAAGTGCCAAATCTGATGTTTCTCTCAGCAGCAGCAAAAATAGCTCGAGAGCGCATCAGCTTTGTGCAAGTAGTTTGTTTAACCCAGTCATTGTTGGTTTTATTCGCCAGGACCTCAGCCCTAGATTTTTTTTCAGAAGTAGTAAAAGGAGTAATTTTGTTTGGCTTCAAGAGGCCCTCAGTATCTTAAAAGGAAGTAGAGGCTGGTGGGAAGGAGTTACTTGAGGCACCAAAATACCTGATAGGAGGAAATGGTCAGTGAAAATGAGCTGTTGTCACTTGAGAATTAGACCTTGGTTTTGATGTAGTGTCTCAAAATCAGAATAATTATAAGCCAGAAGGTATTTTCGATACCTTTTCTTTATATGTTGTCTCCCCACACCCCTTTCTGCCAGAGAATGACCTGTCTTAGGAGGTCTGCAGTCCAGTGTGTTTTAAGTGTACAATAAACAGACAGGGACAAATTCGTCCCCATCACACTTCAGTGAAGCCAAGATATATGTTCTGGAAGGAAAATGTGTTTTTAACTCAAATGGGGACATGTGGGAGTTGCCCTGTCCCAGGGAACAAGAGGATTTTGGCTCTCCGCCTTCATTTGTTTGTCACAATGGCTTCTGCAATGCTGACTGTGGAAACCGTGAGCAATTTCAGCTTTCCATTAACTATCACATATGACCTAGTTTAGTATTTTAGTTCTGTGCTGCTTGCTATCTTAATTCCAGGAATTAATGCCTCCCTGGAGGAACTCGATCGAAGCAGGGGCTAGACAGTTGAGTACTGTATGTGTGTCAGGCAGCCGTGCCGGGGTTTCCAAGAGTCACTGGGATTTGAATAGGTCTTCCTGGGACATACAGTGGATAATCCAGTTGAAGCAGCCAACCCAAGGAAAGTGATCAAAAGTGGTACCACATCACCTAGCTGGAGACTTTGATGGTGTGACAAAGCTGATAAGGGTCTCAACTGAGCAACAGTACTTTTGGGTTTAAAAGGACAGTGAACACATTAGGGAAGGCTCTGAAAGGAATGCAAATAAGACCAAACAGAAATCACAGCAGAATTTCTGGGTGTATTCCCAGCCACAATCCAGCTCCCTGTCTCATACCACATGCAGCAGACAAACTTCCACTCTCCTTACTTGAGAAACTTTAGGCAACAAGACACCTAGGGAACAGGGTCTCCAGAAGGCCATACGGTGTGTATGCCCAGGCCACTTTGCATACAGTGTGACTGCATTCACCTGCCCAACCATGCCCCTGCATGAGAAGAAGGTTCCTGTACTATTTCGGATGCAAACTGAGCAAAAGCTTGAGACCATCTAGGAAACACAGATAGGAATTGAGGTCTATTGTTTATATTTGTATCTGTTGATTTAACGGGGTAGCATATTTTGTGTGAAGCTTAATTACGGAAGAGACTGGATTTGAAGTAAGTTGGTGTACTTGCCTGTTTCACATGTCCCTAGAAAAGTAAACAGTAAACCTTTACCAGGACATGCAGGGAGCAGCCAGCAAGCTCAGGGAAGAGAGCTCTTGTTCACTCAGGGCTGTGTTCCTGGGCTTTTGCTGGAGAAGGGCGGCAGGCTGGGGCCAGACTGGCTTGTGAAGTGATGCTTATAATCATCGTCATGTTTTTGTTCACACAGTGGAGCACTGGGTTGCTCTTGGGTGAGCCTAGCCCAGAATATGCACTCCAGGAGGGCATCTAGCAAACTCTGACTGCATTCAGCCCATGGGGCTGGACTGCTGCCAGTCCAGGGAAAACAGCCCCCTGCCCCATCCCTATGCACACCGTGTGGCTGTTGGGTCCTCAGCACCAACTGCTTCACCCCACTGCTTCACCACTCCTGTTTATTGCACTACTATGTGGACGTAGCTGAAGCCCCTTTTACTGCAGATCTACAAATAATAGGTTTCTTTAGACATGATAATTGTGATTATTACAAGACTTTTAAGTTCTGCTATTTCTAAAATATGTTTAATGTCAAGCAAAACAGTATTCTATTCCCCATTTTCTATGTATAATTTTAGGTATATTGATATATAAGGTGTAGCTATAGTACAGATATATATAATATTATGTATATGGATATATTTGGAAGCTATAGCAGCACACATGTGTCCAGGTAACACAGGAGGAAATTCATCCCAGTGCTGCTTTTTATGTAGCAGCCTCCCTACGCCTGGCAACTCTGCTCTCTCTGTTAAAAAAGGGTCCACAACTTCTGCCTCTGATTTGGGGACTGAAGTGGCTCAAGCCAGCTGAGGTGCACCAGGCATGTGGAGTAGCAGTATAAATGTCTGCTAGTGGGAACAGGTCCTGGTTTGCAAGGGGGCAGGCAGACTGTTTGGACCTCTCCTACCCTCAGGTCGATGGGCACTTTGAGATCAGTGTCTTCATCCATGATATGATGCGGTCACAGCTATGCACAGCTACCTAGTCCTCGTTTGGATCAGGGCTACAGTCACCTTTGATACAGCTGTGAAAAGATAAAGCAAAGTGCTGACAAGAGACATACTCTTATTCTGAGAAATTAATTTATTATTTTTTTTAATCGTATGAAGAAGGTGTGCATTCTGAAGTCCTGCACTTCTGATTTGTTTATAGCTAGCGATATATCAATTTTTTATTTCCTGTAGTCATTTCCTCCAGTTCCCTACAGCCTCTGGTATAAAGTGATCAAACAGTAAAGTCCAGAGATTACGGTTACTCATCTCTTCACAGCCAAGTGTGTCATTCCAATCATGAGACTCATCTTTCAAGCATGTTCAATGATTTTCACGCTGGGCAACCTGGTAGCTTCTCAGTCACAGTCTCCTGGTAAGTTCAAATCCACAGATATTTATTTAAGAAATTGATATATTCATTAGTAATATTTCTGTGCATATTTTACTTCATGTGTCATAATATTCAGCACTTTTTTTGGTGAAAAAAATAAGCAAACCAGAAATTGATATCCAGCAGAAATGAAAGTGGATTAAAAAAAAGAAAATTATGATGGCAATAATAACATATTTCCATGAAAGTTTCCTAATTAAAAGTCAACTTTGTAAGCTTGTGTCTACTCTCAAAAAGAGAAATACTCAGTTATTTAAGCAGGACTACTTGCTAAGGCACAGGTTCTAACAGAGTAGACCACATCTGAAAAGGACTAGCCTTCACATCGAACAAAGATGGATAAAACAGATTCCAGGTAAGACTTCAGCATTTAACACTCTGGAATAACGAACACAATGAGAAAATATCCAGCAATATCTTGTGCCTGAGAAAGTGTCAAGGTAAAAATATTATTAAAGAGCAAAATTAATAAAGACATTAAAGACCAGTTATTTGCCTACCTAAATATAAGAACATCTCTATTTCATGTGTTTGTCTGCAGTTCCGTTAATTATAGCTTGCCAAAGATAAATGGATTCTTACAGAAATCGTACATAAAGCCCAAGACATAAACCGTTAATCTAATCTTTTCTCTTGCTAATTTATCACAAGTTCCTTGTCATTAATGTTATAAAGGGAAAGAAATACTTTAAAGTTATGCCCTCATCTTATCAACCTATAAATCAGTTCTCTGCTCTGTTGTGTGTATGGTAAGTACCGTTTTCAGGCAATGGAGAACCAGATGATTCCTGTGAGTCACTGGTTCTCCTGTGAAGGGATGGGACTCTTCCTTGTACTGAGATGGCAACTACCTATAACCCTACTGGGATGACTTAGTAGAACAAAAGTTGAAAATAACAGTTGTGGTGTTTGATGCACAGTGTGTTGATGCCTAGCAATGGTTGGTGATCTTCTGAAAAAACCCCACACTTTGATGGGTTATGAGAATTATGCTATAAAGGTTATGTTTTGCCTCAAAATTTCTATTAAAAATCTCTCTCTTGCTATCCCATTCCTTTTCTTGAAAAGAGGTTTTCTATTCAGTCTCTGCTCTGTATACCTAATTCAGCAGTCTTGTGCTCAAGGAGTTGCACTTTCGCCTACATGTGTTCCTATTAATGAAATGACATCGTTCTCATAGATGAGTAGTTTTAAGGGTAACTAAAGACTGTAGGCTCAGATCTGGGTCTTGCTCTCTGGTACTTTCTATACAGTGTGCTGCGATATGTGGAAGTTCAACATGTGGTTACTTATCAGGTTTCATCAGTGTGAGGAAATCAAAAGTGGTTTTTCTTCTTTGTTATGTTTCAATGAGGTTGCAACTGTTCCAGTACATGCATGTTCCATTCTGTTATCTTTACAGATTGACTTTCTGCCTCCCCTTTTTCTTTTTTTTTTTTTTTTTTTTTTTTCATCTGTTCCATGACATTCAGCCTTTTTACAATGTTCCCCTTCAATAGTATTTTTTCTCAGTAATAAACTTTGAAAAGTGACTTGGAGGTGGAATGTACTTGCTCATATTCTTGCTCATGGTTGTGTCTGCATAATTTTTTGCTCAAGGAAATTTCTTTTTTTCCCCCTGTAAAAGTAATTTCTCCACACACCATAGTGGTATTTTCCACGCTTCTCTGACCTGAGAAGAGGTTAAAGTCTTGTGTGGAGCCCTACCAGTCCACCTCTGGTTTTACCAAAGACGTAGACTTGGATAATTCTCTCTGAAGCTCATGTTCCAGAGCACCGGTATGTGTCCTACAGCGCTGCACCATACTGCGACCTAGCTAGACCCACAGGCCATCCTCAGGCAGAAAGTTGCTGCCACCCCTCTTTAGCCCAGGGACTGCCTCTGCATACTATTTTTGACCTTTCCATCTACTCATTATCATAATAAAAAGAATAATGATAAATTTATTATTTTGGGCTGTTGTGTGCCTCTAGGATCATGAAAAGAAGAATGCTTTAAATAATCACAATTACTGTGGAAAAGCTGGCACATTAGCTGAGAAAGATCCATGGTGTTACAGAAGGATTCATAAAAATTCCATCATACAGAAAGGGAGAGAAATGGTCCCCTCTATTCTCTTGCTCTCTCTTTCCTTCCATTAACAAAAGATAGGAATGGTTCTGTCTCCAGAATTATAGGTGCTTTAAAAAAAGTAAAAGAAAAAGGAAACTGAACATCTTTTTCGGTTAAAGGCAAAGAAAGAAAAGATCATCAGAAGGAAATACCATGTTTCAGATAATCTGTACATATCCTCAGGGAATTTGATCTCAGTTTAATCCAAATTTCAAAAACTTCACTTAGACTATGCATCTTTTCATGTTGAAATGTGAATTTCGCAACATATACATGCTATAATTTGAAAAGATGCACGCAAATGTTTACTGAACACTTACACAAAATACAAGAGATACCACATTCAAAAAAACTACAAAACTCATGAAATCGGAAAGCACAGTAGAAAATTGCCCTGACTAGAGTTCTAGAAGTAGAGTTGTTAATAATAAAAGACTGATAAAACCTTTTCTGTCCTACATAGCTAGTTAATTATGTCAAGACTGATTTCTTATGAAGTTCTTAAAAACTAGAGCACAGGAAAGAATATGTATATATCATCAGATAGTTTATTACAATTTCTGTTCCATTTCTATTAAATGGTTCTACTTATTTTTAAGTATTTGGTAATGTATTACCTTCCATTTTAGTACATAAACAACTGCAGTTGCTGGAGTTTATATTTAAATGTTAAAATCCCAGAGTTCCAATTAATAATGTGTAGGTTTCTTTGCAGAAAAATGATCTGATCCTAGAAAGATTTATATATGTTGTTAAGTTGATGCGCTCTGAGGAATTTTTTTTCTGAAGTCAAGTGGACTACTTAAGAGTGCGCAAAGTCCACCTATAAATCACTGCAGGACTGGAGCCAAGCTGATATTCTTCACTGTCATCCAAAAAAACCCCTAAAAACACAAGCATTGCCGAACCCAAGAGTTAGTCTGCATCTCTGAATTGTAGCTTCTAATAGGTAGTATAAAGCTATCAGAATATAATTGAAAAATAGACAATAATGAGTGTTGTCCAAGTATCAGAATGAATTGGTGTTTTTTGTTGCCTTCCAAACAGGCCACACTGATCATACTCACAAGTTTTACTTAGTGTCCACTCCTTAGTGTGTGGAAATGCCGTGTGGTCCTTCTGGTTTCCTTGTTATCCACCTCTAGAGCCAACTACAACTTGACTAAACCACTGCAGGTTCAAAAAGATCAAACACCCCAGTAAAGGAATGTTATGGGATTCAGCATTTTTATGCTGGTGTCCTTTTTGCTTGTTGCAATTGAGGGGAAATGTGGCAGCCTGAAAAAGGATTTCAAGAGTTGGTCTGTATGGAGAGGGAAGGATGGGTTATTACTTTACTAAAATCTTTAGTGTCTTGGACTTTTATTTCTCTGTTGGCAATGTCAGGGTTGTGGGGTACAGAGTCACAGGTTCAAGGAGCTTCCCAAGCACACATCGCCTATTTGAAAGGCAAATTCAATTAAAATATTGGCACCACAGCTTTTCTTAGTTGTATACAAAAAATTTGCATGAGCAAATTCTGTGTGCTCTCTCTCACAATTTATAAACCAGTGCTATCTGTGCTAATGCCACCAATTTCTCTATAAACATAATTAAAAAAAAAAATGTTATTTATGCTGCACAACTCTACCATACTGAGCAACCTGAGAACAGTCTTATAGATAAACCCAAACCGCACCATCTGCTTAACACTAGAAATCCATGCACGCAGATCGTTCACATCCTGGGTCAACTGCTGCAACCTCACAGCTGGAGAGCAATGGGATAAACGCTGGGTGCTGAGCCCACCCTCCAAATAACGGAAAAATCGCTGCTGTGTTTTTCAGTGGGGCTGCCTAGGTGCCCAAGTCCAAGGGAGGGTTTTGAGGCGACACTTTTCCTCTGGAAAGGGTCCTGGCACAGCCTGGATTGGTTGGCTGTGCCCCAGGTAGGAGTCTCAGATACCCACTCTTTGCTACGTCCTACTGTCGAGACTGCGTTCCTCTCTTAGCACGTAACCTGTTCGAAATCTTTTCGTCAAGCACAGGAACATCTGTGTGCACACCTCTCTGCAGAGATGTTAAGCCACCTTCTGAGATTAAACTGAAGAATTTCATTCACATTTGACTTAAAAATTTGTTAAAAACCATGCCCTACAAAGAGCATTTTGCCAGCTGTCATTGTGCCAAACTATTGTGCACATAGACACAGCGTCATAATTAATTTTGAAATTGTTTATCCTTGAAAATATGTGATTAAGAAAGCAAGTACTCTTCCTGGTTTTATTTTCATAATTGAAGCATGGACATTAACAGTTCTTTCTCAAAGTGAAAATGTCTGCAATAAGACTAATTGTCAAAAAGTGGAAAGTACATATTTTGTGGCTTCTAAAGGGAATTGAAAAGATTCATTCTATACTCATAAAAATTATCTCAGGGCAGTACAGTATTCTTCTTTCACTAACATTTATACTCTTTTTTATAACTTTATAAAAGATGGAGAACATTATACTCTCAATTATGCACTAAATATACATTTAACTATCTATATAGAAAATCTAAGTCCAAGTAGTCATATGGATTTCAGTTACACTAAGCATAACACCATATACTACACAACACAACCATGTTAGAATTTAGTCCATAAAACTTAAAATGCGTTAGTGCAATTGCAGACCAAGAATCCACCATTAGGCAATTTGCCATCATATATCCCAGTTGTTTAGTTGCAGACAGGGTCATCTCTTAGACCTGCAGAGGGGTCTTACAAAGGGCTTGAGGACTCAGGAAACAAGGCTAGGTAGTCTCTTGTAACAGAGATAGAGCTGGCTGGGTAAATTGTATTTTAGAATGGCTTTTGAGGTTTTGAAGTTTTGTTTTTGCTTCAGCGTGTGATAGTACTCACTTCTCTATTCTTCAGAAAAACACATGAGATTTTCTGTTTGAGAAAACAATACAGAACAAGCCTGCAGGCATTAGTTAGGAGATGGAGGAGTTAGTTTCAAGTCTTTCTCTTGAGTAAGAGCAGAATCTTTTTTATCAGAGCTCCATGAATCACATAGCGGGGACCTGCAGCTACATCTACCCAGTGTCTCCCAGGTTTCTGTCATAACCCTCTCTTGAATGATTTTGTCAAAACAACATGTTACAACACAATTACATCTATACAAAAATGTTTTCACTGGTTCTAATTCCAGAAATAATGAAACGCCTACATGCAAAGATATAGCCATGAGAATAGGCAAAACGGTTACTTGAACCCACCTGCCTTTCTCACATTCTTAGTGTTCATGACGGAGCATAAGATAGCAACCATGAGGATAGTTCGGCTTGATTCTCATGAACATTCAGGACCACTGTATGTGATAAAAAGCTCATGAGAAATGTTTGAAATTTTTTTCCACTCTAAACCCCTTCAAAAGTCCAGAGTGGCATAAAATGTAGACAGCAATCAAAGCTAAAATCCTCTATTCTCCTGCTAAGCTAGAATATTCCAGCAAAAGTTTTCATTGGTAAACACTTCATGTCTGGAGACAGCAGTCTGCAAATTTCTTGCTGATATTCAAGACACATTTTCTTCCTCTTTGTTCATTCAAGTAAATAAAATTTCACATCTTATAGAATGCAAAATAAATTATTTGTCCTTCTCTTTGACATAGAATGGATTTCTAATCCTTCTGCCTTCCTAGTTTCTCCATTTTTCAATGTCAGATTTATCTTCAGTGTCTGATTGTGGAATCCTGATAGACACAGAATTAAAATACCTGTGTCCCTAGCAAGAGCTGTAACAAGGAGAAGGTCAGGAGAGGAAATAAGATCTGCATCCGGTCAGAGGACATTAAATGATCTTTCATGTCTGCAAGGTGGAATTGGCCAGAACCGAACAGATCAAATATGCAGTACACCTGCTTGTGCTGATCTGCTCTGGCTTCCTATAGGTCTTGACCTGTGTTGCCAGTCCCTTGTTTCTTACAGTAAATATTTGACAGTTTACGCACAGTCTCCATGTGGCATTACTTCCCAAATAGTTTTCCTTAGCAGGAAAATTTTATCAGGTATTTTGGGGGAAAGTTGGCCTTAAGGTGTAGGCCCTATACATTGCATACACATGAACCAGTCTACAACTTTTGGCCCAGGGACCATGGGGTGATCTCTGGTGTTGCTGTGCATGCTTTCATTTCGCTATTTTGAAATTCTAATTTCAACCTCTCCAGGCGATTTTATTCTGTTTCCTTGCATTTTAGATATTCTTATGTCTTCTGACTTTATGATCATCTGAGTCTATTGCATACATATCTTTGAAATACTGATTGCCTACCAATGTCAAGGGATGCTTTTCATACTCACTGCTGAAATCATATTCTCCATCAATGTCCTGGGCAGGTTGGAAAGATGCCATCAGCACCTCAATAATAAATTTCAATAATGAGAAGATGCAGATCACATGGACAGCAAGAAAACTATTTCTCAACAAGAATGTGTCATTTTCTTATACGTGAGTATTGACAATGTCTATTCTTCTTTTCTTAAAGGATTTACTTTGGGAGGCTGAAATCTCTAAGTCTATTTGAGTCTTCTGTGAACTGTATCTGAAGCTGCTTTTAACATTTGTTAATCACCCAGCATGAAACCTGTTTATATTCATAACCTGTGACAGAAGTGTGCAAATCAAAAAGTCTGCTGAACAGTCAGTCACAACAAACATTATATGAAAGATTTGTCCCTCATCTGTTCTTGTGCTAAATGTTAATGCTAATAATACGATTGAAAGGGGTTTTTTCCACGTATGTTTGTATATTTTCCTTATTAACTGATGTCATTAATGACTAACAGAAATCTAATGTTTTGGTTAAAGACAGTCATAGCACTTGATTTTCCCTTTTCTCTCTGAGTGGTATACGTAAAAGAACTTTTTAGCAGCACAATCTTGGAAACAGGTTCATGAAAACATCTGTTGAGCAAGTCATTCTCTTGTTAGAAAACAACAACAACACGAAGGAAACTTGATAATTTCAGACTGCGTCAAAACCCAGGGCTGGAAAGTCAATGAGGTTTAGGTAATGAATTCCCTCGCACCACTATGGAATTCGCCACTTCAAGAAATTCCATATACAGACTTCCTTTGGTAGGAGGATTTGAAAAAGAAAGGAAAAAAAATAAAGAAAGAAAGAAAGGAAAAAGAAAGAACAGTAACAAAAAGGAATGAACTTGTGTTAACTGGTACGAGTGTTCCATTCACCAATATTATTTCATTTATAGATTTGATGAAGGCAAGAACAAAGTTTGGAAGCCATGTCCCACCTATTTATTGGATCAAGATTATAATTCTGGATGTCTTTTTAAGACAGAAGGACCTACTCTTGCCATCTCTATCAGGAACAGCGATGGTAGCAAAGAGCTTTTTTCTAAAACACTAAAATCTGATTTCTATAGTAAGTACGTAAAATCACAACTACCTTGGTAGTCCTAGCAGCTTCACTGATTCTCTAGCCATCCTTAGTTTGAGAAGAAATCAGTTATGTTGGTGTATAAAATGTTATTAGTGTGTATGCCAAAATGAAGCTATGGTTATTTCATGTTGATTTTTATCCCTTGCTCTCATCAGTTCTTACACCAGCCTGTATGCAGCTGCAGCTAAGTGAGATTACATGGGCCAGCCAGATTTGTACCCAAACAGAGTTTCAAAATAAAAATGAAAATTCTAAAATACATGGGTGTGCTTAGTTTGGTGCAGGCATGCTCAGTATTCATACAGTATTCATTCCAGGAAAATGAATAAAAGGTGATAGTTTCTTGTCTTAGCATTGGGTGTGTGTTCTGTCTTGTATTTTTAACCTTTCATTTTTTTCCCATCTTCCATGTGATGTGAGGCAGCAAACTACTTCTTATCAAAGAAGCTGTGATAAAACCATCATCAGATGTCAACAGAAATTCGAGTGGCTCTGGTACAGCCTGATATTGTAAAAGAGACATCCTCCTACTAGTAGGGAGACAGCGTTCCTGTTTTTACTAAATCCCTCCTTCCCCTGAATATGTATTTCACGTGTAGTGTGAGATTATTTTGTGAAAATCTTCTGGAATTGCACATAGTTACAGCATTTAAAGTGTAGGATTTTTTTTTTTTGATAAAAATCACACAGAAAACATACAACACAGAATTATCTGAAAAAAAAATAATATCCAAATACCATATTAGCATTTATTAATAATGTTTTAGCAAAAGGGATTAAATAAAAAAATTGTCAAGACATCTAACTTTGAGAATACTTTTCTATCTCGTAATTTTACCAGTATGTGGTAAATTATGGAAAGATGCAGCCTGATGCTTGAATTTTGGGTATTAAACACCCACTGATAGTAAAATGAATTTCAAAAGGGTTAGGTAAGAAAGCACAAATATCAAGGATCAGACTTAAGCCTGTAAGTTAGGAAGGCAGAATTTTCATAATACAAAAAGACAACTAGAAGGATTGAGAAAGGAGGGAACACTCTTCTCAGCCCTTTATTTCCCATTACTGAAGACCAACCAGCTACATAGATCAAACCATTGCATGCTCGTCGGACCACCTGAAAACAGTGAGTGGTAGATTCAGTTGTGCACAGGTAGGCACCCAGTGCTTTTTGCAGATACCCCACCATAGCCCACATAGCCTCCAGCAGCTGCACAAGCATCTCTTGAAGGTTTTATGGTACTGAATTTGTCAGATCCTTTCCAATGAAGAAGCCTCTTTCTTTCTCTTGATTGCAGGGAGTATGAGGAGACTACAGTCCCTCCTTAAGTACTTGCAATAGGTTCCTGACATGAGATAGTATCTACCTTTGAATGTGGCACCTCAAATGGTGAGCAATGTCATGGTGTCAAGCTCCATTTTGATGTTTAATAGGGAGGTCAGCTACAAAAGTACATCCTCCAAGAAGAAGGTCCATCTTCTTCACTTACTACTCAGAGAAACATTGAGACAATGAAGGAATAACAAGAATTTTATCTACAAAGTGCTTCTTTTTAAGATACTATACTGTAATTTCTTTCTCTTCTTCTTAGTAAAGCCCAATCCCCCAGAAAATGTGACCTTCTTCTGGAAAGGGGACACCGTTACTGTAAGCTGTAATAAACCAGAGAGAGCTGTGAAATGCTTGAGACTTGAGCTTCAATACAAAAGCAAGTTTGACAAAGACTGGCAAGTGAGTTGGACGTGACATTTTTAATCAACATTGGAAGGAGCTGGAAGTAGCGTCTCCATAGGATGTGAAATAGAGTTGTTTTCAAATTGTTCTCCCATTCTATATTCCATCCTATGTTTTCAAATATAGCTGGTAGCAGAAAACAGGTTTTTAGCATCCTAGATCCCTGTCATACCAGAAATCATTTATTTTTTAAGTTATATCTAGTTGCCATGCAAAGGGCTGAGGACAATCTAAGGGAAAGGTCATACATTCAGAATAAAGGAGTTTTGGAAGAAAAAAGCAGAAAGCAGAGCAGAGTTAAAAAGAAGAGAGAAAAAAACATGAAATAGAATGAAAGAAAAGAGATAACACGAGATTTTTATTTATTCTAAAGTTAGTTGTTAAGTATTTCTAAATATTATTTCATTGACTTAAACCTTTCCAGTCTCAAATATAACTTGTAAATGTTTTGGGGATCAAAGTGTCTTTGCATATTGCAAATATGCAACCATAACATAGTGCACCTTGTAATGATCGTTATGACCTTCAACTCAATGTCAGGCAATGAGGCATGGCTATGAATAGTGAAGAGTCAGTCAAGAAACAGAATTCTTTGAAACTTAGAGAAGTTAAAATGCAGTTGAGAGGTTTTGGGTTGGCTTATCCCTTGTCCTAGTTGTGATCATGACTGACTGTAGCATTCTGAAGCACTGTCTTGAAAACCAGAATTAACAATGATGCACCTTCCTTCACAGTCCAGAACTTCTAAGTGTTGCAGTGTTGGAGAGCAAGGCTTTGATCCGAGGAAATGTTATTCTTTCCGGGTCAGACTGAAGAGGCTAGCACCCTACTGCAACGTAGTTAATTACGACAGTGACTGGAAAGCAGAAACATTTTGGATGAATGGCACATTATTAGGTAACAGCTGTGCTACATTCATATATTTTCTAAGTACACATGGGGGAGGGGCGACTGCAAAAGAAACTGGGAACATGCAGCAAATTAATGTAGCACTGTTGTGCTTCACCTTCTGTTATTAGAGAAAGCTCATGTGGATGTCTAATTGTCCATGTTTAACTCCTATTCACTTTGTTCCTGATGGCCTACAACACTGTCAATTTGTGCCATAATCAGCAAAGTTAAGAGGGTCCTTATTATTTGTGTTACAGTAGTGTCCAGGGTCCACCAATGACAGTGTTGTGGTGAATGGGGGTGAGGGGGGTGGAGGTCGGTGTCCACCTATGATATGTGAACATCAAATCTGGACCCTAAGAAAATCCTTGATGCCTCATTTTTGAAGGCAGTTTGTTTTGCAAGTGCATCCAGTTGAACTACAGGACCAGAGGTTATAGCAGTCCGATGCTCCTACATGCTGGACTAATCAAAACAGGGAGGATGGGGGAAAAGAGGTGAAATGGAAGCAAAGTCAGTATCAGCACTGCTTTCCCACCAGGCAAACATATTAACTGAGTGTGGTTGACTTCGATTAGATCTTTGACGGAAACAGTATTTCTACTGGCTATCAAAACCAAAACCCAGATTTTCTGTAGTAAAGAAAAGACTGTACATCATCCCAACATATTCATATCATCTCAGCTAAGCACAAAATGCCACCCACTAGGCTTTATCAGAACTATAAGACACCCAGATGTTCAGTGTACCCAGACCCGAGTTCTCTAAAACCCAGTGGGCTATTGGCTCACCTGAAGAAAATCTATATCCACAAAGCTGGGGTGAAATCCTGGAGTATTGGTACGGGCTAGCAGCAGCCACAGTGCTGAGCTCCAGAACAGCCTCCCCCACCATGCAAACTGTGAGCCTGCAAGCATGTCCTCAGGCTGGCAAATGCCTTTAAGAAAACACAGAGGACAATGTCTCCTTGTGCACCTCTGAGAGGTGAGCAGATAAAAGCCCCACCTGGACCATTTGACCAGAGGCTTCCAGCAGGTAACTGCAAGGAAGGAAAGCACAAAGGAGACAGATTAATGGCTCGGTAGCTCTGGGTGCCCCTGCATCAGAAACAACATTGGCACAGTCCCTTCACTGGGGCAAGCACTTCACTTCAGGACTTTAATGAGTTATTATTGACTCCAAATTTAACATCAGAGGAAGCCATGAACAAGGCTGTGCTCCAGAAATTTCATAGATTCTGAATACCTTACTTGGGGATCACAACTTTTGTTGAGGCTTTCTGGCAAGCTGAACAAAGTAGGTGGACCAGGCTGGACAGTTGCTCCTGTATGAATAATCATTATGCAGTTTTTGTAGTATTCATGTAGAGAGCAGAAGGTCAATAGTAGGAGGAAGAGCTTTGAGGTGGGATTGCAAAAGCTTCAGGCAAAAACACTGAGAATGCTGAAAAGTGCACAAATACATTAATTTTATATACCTCTGTGTTAAATTATATCCTTCCACTAGTTACTTTCTGGGTATCAGCACTTGTGGTTTGCTGGCTTTTTGTTTGCTGGAATGGGGAAGATGTTTGTTTGTGTTTGTTTGCTTTATTTTGGGAAAGAAGACATTTAGGCTACGTGTAAAATTGCACTTGCAGCTTTGGTGAGTGTGTGATTGTAAGTAGATGTATGTAATATAGATCTTAGCATGAAGTTGCTGTATCACTGTCAAGGCAATGACATGATGAGAAGAAATATTCGATTCATTCATAACGCCTCTACTCTTTGCCTGTAAGCCTGTTCCTTTATCCTGTACCAGGTTAATTTATATAAATTAAAGCACAATTTTCTTTTGTTGAAAGTATGGAGAAGGATGGCTTTTGTTTTCAGTTTCAATTGAACAACTAAACTGGTCTTATTTGTTCTTAAAAAATTATGTGTTGGTTGTTGGTTTTTTTTTTAAAGAAAATTCAATGTTCTAGCATGATTAGAAATATTTACTGTTAAAGCAAAAAATAACTTTTTCACATACTTTTTTTTGTGATTATTCCTAGAGTCATGTGATGATATAAAATCTCAGTCAAACACAGTAATAGTTTTAAGTTGTTTGCTGGCAGTACTTCTAATGATGCTTGTCCTCTTGATTCTTCTGTGTAAATGGCAGAGGTAAATATAGTTTTATCAGTTAATACTAAATAATCATGTCATGAAAACAGAGCTATTGTTCAGGATCAAGTCTCTTAGCACTCAAAGTTCTTATCTGATAAATGAAGTGATCATGAAGATGTAGAAGACAGTAGCTTAATTACTGTTTGAGCGATAACGCATCCTGGCCTTCCAAACACCAAGACCTTTAATTTTCAAAAACAGAACAATTTTGGTAAAAGACAAAGTTTCTGGATAAAATTCTGTCCCTTCCACATCATTTCTTCTCCTTTTCAGAAAACTAGTTAAATCCTGAGAAGCCAATTATTTTGGCTATTTCTTCTGAAATGGTCTTCTTTTGTGCAACTTTCATCACAGTCAATGTCTGTTTGCAGTGGGCTGAAGTAAGCTTGAGTGCATTCAACTTTGAAGACACTATGTCAATATTTGGATCTGCAGTTAAACGACTCTGTTAATTTTTAGAATCTACAATTTAAAAAACCCAAACCATCAAACAACAAAACCTGCAATGACTCCAGATCTTGGCTTTTTCAGTGGGGAAAACAAAAGGCAAAAATGCAGTATTTTCAGAGCTGAAAGTATATGGGACTCTGATAACCTTTTCAGATCCTAAGTTGAGTTTGTTCTCCTATATTTCTATATTTCAAGTTTATGTTTGTGTTCACTAACTCAGCCAATACAGCTGGCTACTGCACCATCTTCCCTGTCTAGGGGAACGTGGCCAGGGAACGTAAAGCTCTGACTACTGCATGGAGCAGAATGGCAATTGCTGACTAGCTGGAAGTTTGTATAGAGTCCAGATTTTACTAGGATGGGGTTGGTTGAAAATCCAGCAGAAAAAACACTCTTAGCCTGATGGTGTTATCATGCTGTTATAACTGCTTTTTGACTTTAGAACACAATTGAAAGAAATCAAGCCTACAGTACTGCCATGTAAAATATATTTGTGGCTACAGGACTGTGCTGAAGTAGCTTTTTGTATGAATGACTACACTATAACAAAACACCCATTTGTATTTTTCTTTCCTCTTTGCAGGCTTCAGAAGGCAGTCATGCCTGCTATACCAGATCCAAAATACATATTTGCTGATCTCTTCAATGATCATAACGGAAACTTTCAGGTAAACATTCCCTTCCTAGCAAGGCTGTAAATTCTACAGTGTTGAGAATAATTTGAAAGTAGCTGCTGATACTTGCTCTACACACACATTACCACAAGCACTCTCAGACCCAAGAGAATAACCTTTCCCCTCCTGCACCATCACCAAGGGGATCCATACCAGAGCAATCCGTGTAGTGCTGCTTTGGCACTGTGAAAAGACACTTGCTGTAAAAAGAGGCAGAGAAATTGCTTGAGAAGAGTTTAAGGGTCTTCAGAGGCACAATATCTGGTGAGACGCCATTGTGGTGTTTGCATGCATTCCTGCACAGGATAACTCAGGGAACTTGCCTCAACCTGATCTTGCCCTTGATGTTTGTGAAGTGCTGTGAGACTTTGTGCTGAGCCAGTGATGGCACTCAGACCTTTGCAGGCATCAGTCACAGTAGGAAGCCTCTTAGTCACAAAGGTGCATAGTCGCTAAACCTTTAGACATAAAATGGCTGTCAAATGGACAGACCACAGTTTTTGCGTTTGTTTTCTTACCGCTTCTTGAGTCCATGATGTCACATATGCGATGTATTTTTCTGTATTAATTGGGCTGTCTTTATCTTAGTTACTACTAAGTTTCCTCTAAGTGAAGAAGGGTCACATATTTACGTTTTCAAACCCAATGACAATACCAAAGAGCAGTAACAATGTCTCAGTGACAAACTGAAAAATTTCTATATATAAAATAGCTTTAAACTGAAACTGAAGAAGAAAGATATAAAAGCAAATTAATACTGAAGCTTTAATACAGAAATGCTGTGTTTTGTAAATCTCCATGTAAACTCAGTCTCAATTTAGATTAAGTCAGGGCTTGGGTCAAAGAATGCATGAGGCTTTCAAGGAGGGAACACCAGCTATTTTATACATCCAAAGTTTTCTAAAGGCCCTGATTAATTATGAAGATGTATTTAATGTGGTCTTGATAATAAGTAGGAGTTTGTATGCATTTGTGGAATCCTGTCTGCTTTCCTGCCATCCTGCCTTTCTTCCATCCTGCTATCTTATGTCCTGCTTGTCTATATTGCTTCCCTTTCATCTTCTCCATTGTGGCTTATCCTGGAAAGATGCCATTGCTAAAGGAAAATCAGTGTCTACACAGTCTACACACCCAGGTTTCTTTTGATTGACATCTCAGTCCCTGCCAACATCAACATTTTCATTTTTTTAGGAATGGATAGACAAAACTGATCATGCAATGGTAGAAACCAAGGTGGAATATGAAGAGCCAGAGTGCATCATTGAGGCAGAAAGCCAACAAGATGAGAAGAACAGTGACAAACAGGGGCCTCAAGAAAAAAGCTTCAGTTTTTCAAAAGCAGCTGAAAATAATGACCCCAAAGCAGCTCAGATTGCCTGCCTGATGCCAACATCCAACACTATAGCTTCTTTTGCCGGCTTCCAGATTTTAATGAATGATGACATGTATGTAATGTTATAAAATTTGCATAGTTACATAAAAGATCCTGATGAGTTTAGGGGGGGTGGCTGAATATAAAATTTGTAATGAGTAGACTTGCATCAAGAAAGACACTAGGCTGTGTTACCTGGTTTCAGATCTGTTATTTCCCAGAACATATGACTGCTTGGGCAGGTTCAGTGTTTGAAATAGCACCCTGATAATTAATAGAGTTAGGATTTGTTGCTCTGATTGGGGTTTATCTCTAAGACCAAACTGAGCGCCCTTTTTCTGCTATGGACGGAAGAGAACAAGAGCTCCTCCCTAAGACATGGTCGCAGAGCCAAAACTTAGTCCTTGCGTTTATGGAGTATGTAGATCAGTGCAAACTACACTCTTATTCTTCCCAAATTAAGAGAGAAAATAAAGGGTTTTTTCTGCTAATGGTCTTTTTCTCACAAAGACCAGACCATATACTGCTCCTTTTCACAGTGATAGGATATTGTTTTGGAAGCCCTCCTTGGACTAGAAGACTTGCTTTTGTAAGCTGCTTCTCCCAGTTTGAAACTTTGTGCTGCATGGCATACATCAAAGGTTTTATAAAGAGAAAGAATAAGCCCCATGTCTAAGAACATAAGAGTGAAGTTGTACGGTATTGAGTCATATTTTATCCTGCAAGCAGTGCTGTGTAGGCAGCTTCCTCCAGAACGGTAGGGCTTCACGGGCCTCCTCTGAGGTCAGGTCCTCAGTCTTTGTATGACTAAGCAACTTCTTCTAGAATTATGAGGGTCATTTTGAACAATATTTATATTTAACTGAGTCACATTTATTTCAAATTTTTTTAATGCAATCAGCAGCTGACCAAAATTAGGACTTCTTATTCATATTGCATAGACTAGCCTCTTGTTCTCAAACTATGTTCTGATGTTTTCTAGACATACCATCTTCTAAAATATGTTTAATTTTAAATTTAAAATGCAATACACTATGCAATTAGACCTCAGAAAAAAAGATCTTGACTATTCTGTGAGTTTCCCTCTATCACTTGGTTTACTTGCTCTTTGAAAACAAATTTTGTAAAATGTTTCAGTACTAAAAGCATCCATGATATGGGTAAGGTCTTGTAGATATACGGTGATTGTACGTTCAACTAGCTCCAGTTATTTACCTGGATATCAGTCAGTCATTGAATGACTTTATCAGTTGACTAAGCTTTGCCAAATGCATACTTGCACTGACTAATTTATAGTGTAACTTGGAAAAGGCACATATCAGAAAATTACAGTGATTAGTAAAATATTTTTAATTCACTGCTTACAAAGTTCAATTCCAGATCTCCTTGGAGGCAGTAAGCAGTAATATGAGCCATTAGGTCTCAAAATCTGTTTCTAAGTGACCCAGTCTGCTGTACGAGGAAAAATCCTAAAATTTTCTGGCCAATAACTGGGAAACTTAACTGGAAAGGTAGTTCAGGCACATCCCCCAAGTTTTTCTTGACATTAGCTCAGATTTGATTGTTCATTAACAAGATTAACATACTAACAAAGGATTTCCCATAATCTTGAAGACATTTCTGTCTCTTCCTGTCTAAAACAGATGTGTGCAATTTTTTGGGGGCCTTTTGTACATCCCATATTTCTGGAAATTTTTTATAATAGTAACCATGCAAAGTTTCAATAGCACCGTAAGAATGCGGTGGATTTTAAACTAATGCAAGCTGTATATAATTTGATAAGCAGAATCTAGCTCAGCTCCTCTCTGCTGATATAAATTTGCATTATTGCATGAGAACCAAAGAAGTTGCAGCAGTTTACAACAGATAAGAAGCTGTTCCAGTAGTGGTTCAAACAATAAAGTGGGAAGTAAAGCCCAGAATGTATCTCTCAGTTACTTTATGTTTGAACCACACATACATACGGTTGTCTACAGAGCTTGCTAGATACCTTAATTAAACCACTTTCTGTTGAGCAAATACTTTTCTGTCTGAATTCAAAATGTTTTAGTATATTTTCCTGAAATTTTACTGAGGGGGGAAAAAAAGAATAAAGTAATGTTGAAGTGTACTTTTTAAGCAGCATTTCTGAACTGAAATGTTAGTAATTTAAGTTTTTAGTGCACACTATAATATCTCATATTATATTTTATAGACATAAAGGTTCTTTTTGTGTAAGTATACAACCATATTCACATTGTATATAACAGACCAGAAATAAAACAAATAAAACACCCACATATCATAAATATTTATTTTTAAAACATCTCTTTATGAAGAAAATAAAACAAGGAATTATTGGAATTCAAAACAAAGCATATTTTCCAAAAAAAAAACCCCACTTCCATTCTTGGAGAACTCTAGAAGAGTGTCTACAGAATGATGAACAGGATTTAAGCAACAGGAAACATCCTCCCCCGAATACTGATGATGACATCAAACATGGCACAACAAGATACATATCAAATTAGCAACACTCATTGCTTGTGGGTGTTGGGGGCCCTGGGGGAACCCAAGCATGTCCCTGAGCTCTGCTCTGCTGGTGCCTGCCGTAGCCTATCTCTGATGTGATGTAGGCCCTGGTAGCCCTCAGCCACAGCAGGTACTGCTTCCCCAGGAAGGATGCCCTGCTACCTGTGGCACCCTCTGCCCCAGCTCCCGGCAGGAAGAGCTGGGAGCCAGAGCTCCTGGGCACACTGTGGCTTCAGGCTGAACTGCTGCTCAGTAAAAGAAGAATGAGAAGATCAGCCAGAGTGTGAGAAGCTGGACCCAGATAAAACGCGTCTGAAGGATGGAACCAAATGTCTTTATGAAAATATGACTGCATGCTTTCTACACCAAATCTAAGAAGGTTTGGATGGATCTGGCACTTTGGAGAGGAATATTAGCAAGCCAGATAAGTTTGAGAACATAGTTTCCTTTCAGTTATGCTGTGTAACCGATCACCTCATCTTCATACCAGCATTGGTTTCTCCTTTATGACATATTGACTGAAATAATACCTTTAGCTTACACAGGTTATAGACTTGCAAGGGCATCACTTTGGTCCCAAGCCATTCAGGAGACACAGCTGCCTCCAATAAAACTCTTAATCTGCTAAGACTGTGACAAAATGCTGCATATTACCTTGCTGTTCAAATAAGAGGGACTTTCTTTACATTATAAAAATAAAGCCTTCTCACCTGTCTTTGCCTGTTGGCCTAGTGCTCATTTTGCAGGAGAGTGCTGGGCAGCTCTGTAGCAAAATTCCAGAGCCATTGCTCCACACGGTTTACTGAACAGAACAGCAGGCTGGCTTGCTGCTTTCAACTACTGTCACAGTGACAAGTTGGAAGGAGAGTAACGTGAGGCTTCCCTAATCGCCCATCTGCCAACTTCCATCATTTTGTCATCATTTTTTCTTCTGTCTCCTCTCCTCTCCTCTCCTCTCCTCTCCTCTCCTCTCCTCTCCCCCCATTTCCCAGATGGTCACACAGCTGTGCAGCCTGTCTCTCAGCGCAGGCTTGCAGTGATTCATGCAAGCTTAGCTACAAATGAGCAAATTAAATGGCCAGACAGGAAAAGGCCCGTTCAGCTCCCCACAGTGAGAAGAAGGGTACACGGGAACTTTCACATCTTCCTTCTTATTTATTCAAAAGTTGTCATGTTCTTCAAAGGCATGAGTCCCTCAGATGAGACATCTTGTTCCTAATTATATCCCACAGAAAGGGAGAAACCGTGTGTCATATGGTAGTCCAGACTAATTGAACTGTATTTTCTCAACAGCAGAACAAACAGACTGTATATTTATTCCTCATGCAATTTATGTGCTAGCTGTACCAGTGCTGAGCCAATTTACATTGATAGATTGAACATCTATACTCTTTGCTTTGCTTTTGATGTCTGATTTTCAGTGTGAGGAAGAATAGGAGAAAATAACATGGGTTTTTTTAAACAAGTAACAGGACTTATTGAAACCAGTCTTGCAACTTCTGCTTTCTCTCTTTTTTTTTTTGTTTGTTTTTTTTTTTTTACATTAATGTTTTTCAATTTATTTGGAAATACGTCTTGCACAATTATCAAATGCATAATTTTGAGCAGAAAATGGTTGCTTCTTTTGCAATGAACCTAGAATTTTCTTACAGTGTACTCATAAAAGCTTTCAAAACCATCCTTGCTTTTTTTTTTGTGGCTTACATTTTTACAGTCACTAAACCCAGCCGTGCAAAACAGAGTGTATTCTGCTTTTCCCTTTTCCTGAAAGTGACGTGAGCTGCAAAGATGAAAATGAAGTGTCACACTCACTGAACACTTGAAAGACTGGACTAGATACAATTTTTGTTTGTTTGTTTGTTTTTTGGAAAAGCCACACAGGCCTAAACTTGTCAAAATACCAAGAGCAAAGAGGTAATGTAGGAAAAGAAAACAGGGCCCTAATTGACCTTTTGTCACTGAGTATCTAAGTAGACATCTATCACTGACTAATCTAGTGGCTGAAAGAGCGGTATTATGCAATAAGAGAAGAAATGCAATAATAACTCAACCTTTCCTGCAGATTTCTCATAACCCTTATAATTTGTGAGCTGAATTAGTGTCAGGGCTTGCTCCCGCTCAGTTTCTTGCTGGCAACTGTTGGCACAAAGTTTGTGGAAGGGAAATAGCAGGTGTACACTCACCCTGAGCGATAACTGGTCCTCACACGCATCCACGCTTGCCATGTGGCAGGCTTGGAGAGGAGCCTGCAACTTGCAACATGAGAAGCTGCAGCTGTTTGGTGTTCCTCTCTCCTCCTTATCTGGATGGGGCAGGACCAGGGGAGCAGGCAGAGGTAGAGCCCAGCTTCCCTCCGTGCCCTGCAGCCCCGCAGGTGATGTTCTATCACAGGCTGCAAAGGAAGGAACCTGTGTCACTTTTCTAGTGAAATAACACCATTTCTTTCTCAAATCAAAATCCCTGGGATTAGTGGTAGGATTCATGTCTACCTGCTCTGTGCCTGGAGCAGGTTTCCTAGTCTCCTAAGTGTGAGAAAGAAACAATATGCACCATATAAAAAAAATAATCTCCCCCAATA